CCCTTCTAATTATTGGCCTCCCTTAAAAGAAAAAGGCTTTTACTTTATTTATTTATTTATTTAGGTCCTTTAATTTCTTTAATTCATGCTATAAAATCCCTCCTTTTTTAATTCTTTCAATTTAGCCCTTGGTTTATTTCCTACTCTTTATTTAACTAAACTTAGTCATCTCTCTTTTCTCTTATTCTCTAAATGTCTTAGTTATTCTTCTTTTTCTTTTTTCTTTTGAAAGTATTTTGACCGAGGTTTTACATACCCCTGTTGAGGTGCCACTTAGGATCACATTAATTTTGGGTAGTGTTAGTATATATTGACCATGACATCACTTGCTTTACTCAAGATGAGAATCCCTATTCACAAACTAACAGAGCTAGCTTTTAGTTATCAATCTCTCGATTTCTTATTTTAAAACATAACATTTTTTATGTCATATCTTTTATCCCTATAGATCAGAAATACGAGTATTTGGTTGCAATCTCATAGATGAAGGGCATTGAACAAATTCTTTACCTTTGATTATAAAGCTTAGCCCACACCCTTGTGCAAAATATTGTCCGTTATGACTTAGCCCAACTCAGCTTCCACACCTTATAGTTTTGTTTTTAGCAGCCCACATACCCCAAAATATGTCCTATAAGGTTAGATACCAACTACCTTAATGTACCCTAACTTTAGACACTGTTTTTTTAATGTGAGATGTTACAATCCCCTTACCTTAAGAATGAGCCATCCTCGGCTCTGATATCATATGTAAGGCCCGACCCATTTCCCTTTGCAAAATATTGTTTGCTATAGCTCAGTCCAACCTGACCTTCATGCCTTATGGTTTTGTTCCTATAGCCCACAAACCCCAAAACGAGTCCTACAAGATTAGGTACCAACTGCCTTACTATGTCTTGGCTTTAAATACTCTTTTTTTGATGTTGAATGTTACATTAATGGTCATGGAGACTTCAATAAGGGTAACTTTAATAAAGTAATATGTATTTTAGGGTAGCTCTTGTATTCCCTAATCAATCTTTTCTAATTTTTTCTAAGGTAATTGTCCATCCTAAAAGAACAATCTCATTTGAAAGACCTCTCAAACAATTTTCTTTAGAGAAACAGGGAGGATCATTACATAGGATAGCTATCTCTTCCACCCAAATATGGTTCTCAATGGCTTACTTCATTTTTATTAAGCTTTTACTTGGTGGAGCACATAACTCTTTCCATAAGCTATCCTTTTTACTCTACTTACCAAGGCTTTTGAAGCCATATACTCGATTAATTCCTTAACCTTGAGTATTTCCTCATTAAATTTCTTTTAGTATACTTATGTGGACTTGACCCCAAAAATTCTATGGAACTTCTTTTAGCTAGGATGTTTATGTTGAACTGCGTGTATAAAGGTCATCAAAGCTTGTAATAGATCTCGACACCAAATTATTATAACATTTATATATTGACCCTATAAAGATTAAAAGGAAGGTCTTACATATGAACATAGTTATCCTAGATGACCAATTACAGGCTGCTCTATATATTATGTATACGTTCCCTTGGATATGCAAGATCATCATAATTATCCAATGTCATCTTAGTAGAAATATAATCTTTGGATATATGAGAATACAACACTTATCTTGATAGGGGAGAGTCTTGAATTTGATAGAGGGATGTAGATATTTTCATGCATGTACTCCCTTATAGGCTGTTTTCCACTCCTATGTCTTTAAGGTTCCAGGAGCTTTAGATTTTTGGCATGGAATAATGAGATTAATGGCTAGCCTCCATCCCATGATGGCTAGATGGACATCTAGAATACTCGTTATATGCACGGGTATCATGACAATACGAACCTTCTTTGGAAAGGCTTGGTGACCACTAAGATTGAAAACATCTTATTTCATTTTATCCAAACTCCTTGGGGTGTTATAATTATCTATGAATATTGGGTGTAACTTGCTATTGTGGGGCTATAAAAAAGGTGCTTATATGGGTGCCAAAATTTACTAAGGTAGAAAAGTTTGATTTGACCTTTGAGCTACCAACATAGTCTAGGAGAGGACTTGCACCTATTTTATAAGCTGTTAAAGATCTGGTTAGGTAGAAGCATCTGTTATGGCAGGGATGTCTATCATACATCTTATTATTTATCATTGATGATGATTAAAGATATCAATAAACCAATTATAGAAGGATAATTAATGGCTTTTTAAAATAAAAAAAACTTTCTCATATATAATGTTAATTGATGATGTTCCAAATATAATATACTAAAAAATAAGGTTATTGATGTTTTAATAATGATTAATCACACGTTTAGGTTAATATTTCCTTCTCTAGAGCTTAGAAAATGTATGATTGATGGTAGAAGTTTTAGCACTTGTAAAATTGTTCTTTTTGATGGATTTTAGGGATCCTTTGATGATAAAGTCAGTGATTTTAAATAAGAACAAAAGTGCTTATTCTTGTTTTGGTAAGATAAATGCTTTAAAAATTAAAACATGAATGCTTGGAAAAAAAATTGTAAACCATCTTACCTAAGTGGTTCAACGAGTATTTGTAAACTATATACTTTGTCTTTTTTATGGAGTAGAAGGGTTGAAGAGTTATTTTCTCCTGATAATATTAATGAGAGATAAGAATCTCTTACACATCATTAATGAGAGACAAATATCCCGTATACATCATTAATGAGATGAAAATATGGTATACCCTCGAGAGACCTTTTACACATATAGATGTTGGGAAACAATTATTCCTAATATGAATAGTTCATGTTATAGGTCTTATGAATGAACAAACAAAGCCTTATAACTTTAAAATGAGTTTTTAACAACCCTCAAACCAATTGAGCTTGACACGGAGCCAAGTCTAGTAGAGGTAGGTCGGACAACTCGCTAAACTCATATTTATTTAGATTCAGCATGTGGTTGAAACTAATAATGCTGGGTATAACAGCTTGCCAAACTTATGTTTACTTAGGCTTATCAAGTTATTGAATCCAAGAATATTAGGTCTATCAGCTTGTCAAACCTACGTTTACTTGGGCTCAGCACGTGATTGAGCCCAAGTATGTTGCATCTGACAGTTCACTAGACCTATTTTTTCTTGGGCTTAACGCATGGACAAACCTAAGCATGATAAGGTTGATAGCTTGCTAAACCTACATTTACCTAGGCTTATTTTGCTATTGAAACTAATAATTTTAGCTCAGAATGTGGACGAACCCAATTATATTGGGTCTAGTAGCTCGCTAGACCAATTTTTACTTGGGCTCAATATGTAGCCGAATCAAGCATGTTAGGTTTAATAGCTTGCTAGACCCACCCGTTGAAGGATTACAACCCTGTTATTGAACATTTTATATATTGTTTTAGGTTTTTTTCATAAAGCATAAAAAATACAAGTATGTTGAGTTTGAAAGCTCGTTAGATCCACTTGTTGAAGGGTTATAACATAGTTATTATACCTTTTTATACATGGTTTTAGGCTTTTTAACAAAGCATAGAAAATACTCATCAATATTATCATTGGTCTTTGAGTAAAATAAAAGGATAAATATTCATCGAATTTACTTATATTGGGTACAAGTTTAGGACGAGGAAGTTTTATCAAGAAGGTTAACGTCTAATCTCGTGAAAAATATGAGTAGAGAAAATGTTAGGGGTAGGGATAGGAAGAAGATTTTTTGGTTGTGCATTTTTCTCTTTTAAAATTTGATACCAAGGAAATCATTTTTTCCCTTTTAAACTCTCTCTCTATATATATATATTGGAATGGAAGTAGTCTAGCAACATTATTAAAAGTAAAAAGTTGAGATTATACGACTCTTCAAGGTGGATAGGAGCCTTTTGTAATTGTTAAAAAAATATATATATAGGAGGGCAGAAGATCAATTAGAAACATGGTGCAGTTGAAATTATGTTTTGTCATGATCATAATTTTAAAAATGTTTGATTAATTAATATATATCTAGGTTTTATATGAGTTTCACTTAAAAAAATAAAATTTTAATTAGAAAAAAACTATAATGTATGATTTTTTTTCAAATTACAATTATAAAAACTACATCAAACTGAAGCACACACCGAAATATGAAGATTATAAAATGGCTTGATTATAGAGAAATAGATCCTGGGAAACAACCCCTCAATGGAGGAATGACCCTTGGTTTCGGGTCTTTCTCAAAAGTTACAGCTCCCTTGCTTCCCCATTTTGCAATAAAGCAAAGCTTGGACTCTTCCCATCTCCAGTTCCGTTTTCAACTCGATAATTGTATATTCTGTTTTTTTAAGGATTAGACCAAGCCATGGCTGATGGAAAGAGCCCGTCAAAGAGACTCGACCAAGATGGTTCAAATCAAAGAAAGCAAAGGCATTATTTATTATTTCTAATTATATCATTTTAATTTTATATTAAATTTCATTGTTATCTATATTTTTTCGATTTCTATCCAACAATTTAATATTTTATCTCTTAAAACTTCTTACACCACTCACCACCTTACTTCTATTAGGTCTTTTCATGTTAGAATCCACAAATTGTGTTTTCTTATAGTATTTCCTTAATTTTCAAGAACAAATACTAAATGTCCAAGGACTACTAACCAATCATGTTTTCATCAAGGCAATTATCATGATACAAGACAGCATAATATATATATATATATAATCCTATGAATTAGGATCCCAATCAAGGAATCCCATTGATCATTAACAATTGTTCATGTGGCAGAATACCATGATGGTCGGCCAGCATAAAATATAAATTGAACGAGGACTTGTACATGGATGCCTACCCGAAGGAGAACACCAGCAAGCCTGCCAGCGCCAAGTTTCAAACGTTGAAATTAAAGTACCTTTTCAAAACTAGGGCATGAAGAGAGGAGCAAATCAAGCCCGCATTATTGGAATATTATTATTACCTTATTAAAGATGGATTTATATCCGGTGCAACGAAGATGCGTTTCGTAAGTGAGAATAAATTTACATACAAGGCAAGATCATGTATTTTTCAAGATTCTTAGCGTCCATCCTTTGTTTTTTTTGCCTGTTCTTAAAGCCCAGAGAGAGAGTAGCTTGAGAACACATCTGTCCAATGGAAATCATCGAGGCTTCTTCATGTTCTTTTGCTCCAGGTGATCGTGATAGCCCCCGACATTCCCAGTGGCTTCAGAAAACTCTATCAGGTTTGTCCTTACTTGGCTTAATTTTCACCAGTTATGCTATATTTGAATTCATTTCTTGTTCTAAACATTGGTAGAAACCACAAGTAGGGAACGGGTGGCACATGGCAAGTTCGAAACTATAGATATTAAACTAGGAAACCTGAAAGCTTATATGCAAATATATAATGATGGTTCATGCCACCTTTTTTTTTAATACTCAAATAAATGCTTCAAATACTCTGTAACATTTCCTGGCCATGTGGTTTGGAATTGTAACTAGAACCACTCAATAAAGGTTCTTGCTTTGGTAACACAAATGCACAGCAAAAATGTTACTTCTTGACATTCACTGCTATTTACTTTCCATTTAAAAAAGAAAAAGAAGAAGTCGTTCCCTGCTATGGAAAGGTTTTCTGAGCCTCTTGGTATGCTTTTCTCGTTATTGCAGACATGAACGAGAGAATGAAAGCCATGATGACTCTTTTGGAAGAAGATGGCGATTCTTTAGATAGAGTTGCCAGTCGTTGCAAAAGAAGGCTGGAGCTTGTTCAAATGCTAGAAGAGTTCAACAGATCTTATCGCCATTTAGCTGAAACATGTGACAGGTTGAGTTCTAAATTCCTTGTCAAAGATTCAGGGCCTGCACCTTTGCATTCCACAATTGACAGTAACAAGGATACACCAATAGAAAGCTCTGATAATTCTAACTCCGAGATTTTAGATTCCCACCCTCAATACGTTGTTGAAGATCCTGAGATCAAATGTGACAGCACTAACTTCGACGTTGAATACCTGGACAAACTAGTGGATGAACTGATGTTGACTGAAGAATGCAAGATGAAATTAAAAGCGAAACGTGAAATTAGAGAAAATCAAATGGATAAGAAAGGCAGAGACTTTTTCCGAGTAGAAAGTATCAGTACGAATATGAATGATTATGGCGAAGTTCAGGCTACTGCAAGAGACTTCTCAGAGGGTAGTGGTTTCGAGTGGGACAATACATGGTGTGAACTCAAGTTTCAAATCACAAACCTTATGGAGGAAAATCTGCAGCACCAGGCCGAGTTAGCAAGGAGAAACATTGAAAAGAAACTGGTAATTGATAAGCTCCGGCTACAGCTAGAACATTTGAAGGCTGAGAACAGGTCCCTCCAGGGCTGCATCAGCTGTTCAAAAGACGGAGAGAAGCGCAACTCATTGCAGAGAAGAGGACTGCTCTCGGGTAAGTTTTTTGGAGGAGGTTGTACATGAATTGTCATTTGACTCATTTCCCTGCTTACGCAAATGCTTTAGCATGAAGTTCATGCAAATCCAACCCTCAACATCAAAGCTATAATTACACATCTTGTAGAGCTTAAAGGAGCAAAATTTTCCCAATCACTTGTCATGCTCTTATGAAATTCATAATATGTTCTTGTTCAAAGGGTAATCTTTGTGCTGTAACAGACTGCTTTCTTGTTGCGTGATTCTGTGTCTCAAGGTCCTAGACTGTATCTCTATAAAAAAACACATCCTTTCAGCAATAATCACATAAAAGAAACACATTTGGCTTCACCCACCTGGAACCATTTTTTTTCCTTGGAACTGCTCTCAGATTCGTAGTTAGGAATCAGCTACCTGCTTGGATGCTTGAGTGCCTTTTGATTGAACAATTAGAGGTTATTGCATATCTGACTTACAGAGTCGAATTATCAAAGACTGTTGTTTGAGAATACTATTTCATTAGAGAAGTTGCAGCACCATGGTAACTACAATCTCCTAATGGCAATAAATTTTTTAAATAAATTCTGTGCCTCAAGGTCCTAGACTGTATCTATATAAATAAAACATCCTTTCAGCTATTATAGAGGAAAATCTCCTAATAGCAATAACCTCATTGTTCAGGTCAAAAGCAACAATTAGCTTTCCCTTAGCAGTGCCACAGCCTTGTTCATCTCATGTATAGATCTGTTACCAATAATCTCCACATGAACACAAACCATCCTTGAAGTGATGAAATCTCTTGGCGTCTCTCACTATAATTTCTCTACTAACAATCTTCGAAATCAGCTTAATAACAGTATGGCAGTCACCACAAACCCGAAGATTCTTAATAACATGAATAGTTGAACCAGGAACTGAGTTCATGACTCCAAAAGCAACAGCCAATTTCTCACTGTGAATTTGCACAACCATTTCCTTCTCCTCTTCATCAACATCATGAAGAACCGATGCCATATTAGGAACATAGCCAGCTTCTTGCAGCTTCACAGAGAGCTCCTCCAAATACTTGTAGATCTTCTCATGTTGAGGATGCTCTTTATCTCCAACCAAGAATATATGCACCCTACCTTTGAGTTCAACCAAACTGTATCCCGGTGGTTTAACTAGCCCACGATCTTTCACAAGTATTCTCATCCTTTCAACATCTTTCCATCTTCCAGCATCTGCATATATGTTTGCAAGTAAGACATAATACCCACAATTACTTGGGTCTAGTTTAAACAGTTCCCTCGCAGAAATCTCTGCAAGCTCCACATCCTTGTGAATTCTACAAGCTGCAAGAAGAGAGCCCCATAGTACAAAATCACGCCTCACTTTCATACTCTTTATCAAGTTGTACGCCTCTTTGATATAACCAGCACGCCCAAGAAGATCAACCATGCAACCATAGTGCTCAACCCCTGGTTCTACATTATATTCATGACTCATGGCATTAAACCAACGCCAGCCCTCATCTAAAAAACCAGCATGGCTACAAGCAGCCAGAACTGAAATAAAAGTTATATAATTTGGTTTGACCCCAGCCCATATCATCTGATAAAAAACATCCAAAGCTTCTCTTGCAAAACCATGCATTCCATAACCAGCAATCATAGCAGTCCATGACCTCACATTCTTCTCCTTCATGCCATCAAATGCATTTCTTGCCATTTCAGCTTGCCCACATTTGCAATACATATCTATAATTGAAGTGGCCATAATCACGTTATTCACATAACCCATCTTTATAACCTGTTACAAAAGATAAATAAATGATAAATTATGCATTTGAACCAAACAAAGCATCATTCAAGACAGTCAGACATATCATAAGCAGATGGGATAACTATAATTCGATGCAGAAATGCTGACATCACCAGGCATTTACCTCAACTATAATACACCAAGTTGGCTAACGTTAGTCTCACAGCAAAGACTTGATACATTGAACGAACTATTCTAGTAGGAAAAGAAAACCAAGTACCTGATCATGTAAACACATCCCCACACGCAGAGCGCCCTCATGTGCACAAGCTAGCAACAAAGTGGACAAAGTCACCTCATTGTATTTACCACCGCCAGCCTTTAACATCCCATGAAAAACTTCAAAAGCATCCGTCGATAACCCATTTTGGGCATACACAGCAATCATAGAATTCCAAGAAACAACATCCTTCTCAGCCATGTCATCGAACACCTTTCTAGACAAACTCACTTCACCACACTTTGCATATGCATCCAACAAAGTATTCTCAACTCCCATCACTTTATCCAACCCGACCTTTATAGCAACCCCATGAACTCCCTCACTGACTGCTTTATTTGAAACACGAGAACAAGCCGATAAAACAGAAATCATAGCAACAGAATCAACAGAAGTTCCAACCTCTTCACCATTTCCTTCACTCTTTTCAAACAAAAACTCCTTAAAAACCATTAACGCTTCATGGGCATCATCATTTTGAACATACCCGGTTATTAAAGAAGTCCAAGTAACAATATTTCTCCGAGGAATTTCATCGAACAGTACTCTTGCATTACTTAACTTCCCGCATTTTGAGTACATATCAATCAAAGCTGATGACACAAAGAGGTCCGATTCAAACCCAAAAACAAGCGCTTGTTGGTGGGCTTGTTTTCCGGAGTTAAGATCAAACAAAGCCGAACATGATTTGATTGCGCAAGGGAAAGTTGAGCGGTTTGGTTTTATATCGAGCTTTCGCATCCAAGAGAAAGCACGGAGAGACTCGCACGAGTCACCTCCGCGAGCCAACTCGGCAATAAGTGAGTTCCAGGAGTAGACATCAGTCCTGTCGAAGTATTTGTTGAACAAGGTAGTTAGGTTAGTGTTGGTTGCTGCTGCTGTTGTTGAAAAGTGGTTTTTATAGATTTTGAATGAGATTGTAAGTAACTGAAGTGAAATGGGATATGGAATCTTCATTCCTTCATGTCTCCGCTTGATCTTTGAGTTCCTTCGCTCCGTTTGCTTTTGCTTCCTTTCTGTATGAGTTCCTTTGCTCTGTTTGCTTTTGCTTCTTTTCTGTTTAAAGCTTAAGGATTTTGGAGGGAAATGCTTGGCTTGGTAGGCTGGGAAATGCTAGAGTAGGCCCGTTCATATCGAATTAGGTTTGGAGTCTATCTATATGTAATCATAATGAGAGTTCTTGGATTTTGAATGTAATTATAATAGACTTGGATGTTGTTTAATGAATCATGTTTTGTTCTTGTCTCGGTACTGAAATCATCTTCTTCTCTTTTTATTTTTTCTTCTTCTTTTTCTATCTTCGTAAAATAACAAAAACAAAGATTTGTCACCTGTTCATCAATCTCTTTAAAATCAACAACAATAATTTATTACATATTTGGGTTTTTCTTATATTTAGATGTATACTAGTTGTTTTGTGTTTTTTTTTATTAACTCTCATTCTCTGTATATCATAAATAAAAACAGCTCTATATTGTTTTTTTATGGCACAGTAAGAAGAGCAACCTAAAAATTGCTTAGAAACAACGGAGAAAGTATTGCCAAGCGGGTAATTTTTTTTTTAATCTTCACATATCCTTTACTCATAGTTATAATTATATTAAATTGGAACTTGGGTATTTTCTTTATATTTTAGGTTTTTTGGGCTATTTCTTTAATATAGCATTCTTACAACAAACTGATAGCAATATTTTTAGATTGTTAATTTGACGCTTGAAAAAATATTTGCATTTTGATTCAATAAAAACCTTACATTGAAGAATAAAAAATATATGTAATTGATTACCTCCATTTTATATATATAATGAGACATGACGAGAAATATAAATCACAATTAAATTGATGAATTATTTGAAAAATTTACAAGTTTAATCAAGAATTTAGTATAATGACTACTCAACTACACAAAGAAAAACAAATCACAACATATATGACAGCTTTAGAGAAAATTTTATAAGCTAAGAAATAATGTTAACAATTAAATTAACTCTAATTTGACTTAATGAACTCAAACATGATAAATAGACCTTATCACATTAAAAGTCTAAAATAACTAAAAAAATTAAAATAAACCCCAATCCAGAAAACTCTTAAATATCATATGCCCTAAAATAAACTAAAAGATAAATAAATAATATCTCAACTAATTAAAACAAGACCAAACTTGAATTTCATAATCAATTCTAATATCGATATCATTAGTCATCATCATATAAATGACTAATCAGAAGTTTGATGATACCATTCATTTAAATATCATTAGCTTCCACTACCTCGTCAAAACAACTAATCAAAGTCAAGTCAAAATAGATAGACAACTAATCAAAGTCAAGTCAAAATAGATGTCAATGTAATCATATTGACATCATTAGCCCTTATTACCCAAAAAGGCTAATCAAATTCTAGTTTATGACAACACCAATGTAACTTTATTGGTATCATTAGTTTCAATACCTAAAATATCTAATTAAGTCATTTTTAACATTTCTCTTTTTAAAGTATTGTTGATATCAACACAACCACATTAATATTATTAGCTTTTCAATTTTGAAACAACTAATCAAATTCAAGTAAATGACGATACCAATGTAATCATATTAATATCATTAACCCTTATTACTTGGAATGGCTAGCTTGGAATGGCTAATCATATCCATATATCTTCTTTTTCTATCTCTTATTATATTTTCATATAATTTACACATTTTATGAGATGCAGTTTAAAACAATACAAATTACTCATAAATAGAGTTAATAAAATGTTAAATACCTACTTGTTGATCTTGATATCCCTGTTCTTATTCCATGCTAAGGCCTAGTGCAGTGATATTCATTGTTAACACAGGACCAATATATTACTAATATTTTTAATAACTTAGGATCCTTGACTAAGTTCTCACATAATCAATATTTAACTTAACACAATATACTCATTCTAATTACACAAGTATTTTCCTTTAGTTATCCATAATTTTCCATTTAGTAAAAAATCATATCTTCATTTAATCATTAATATCATCATTCACTTCCATTTAATCTCACTTTCCTAGCATAAATTTTCCATTATCTTATTAAATTCCTTAATTACCTTCTTTTTTTTTACTAGTTATATATATATAATTTCTTCCTCAGCACCACATCTAAATTTTTTCTCTATCTCCCCTTCCCTAAAAAAAGTTTGGTCGAATTGGCCAATGTCATTATTCATGGAATGTCTTTGTTTTACTTTCACAATAATCAATTAAATTTATTATAGACAAGCTCATTTACTCCAATTTAACACAATCTTATACAAGATTAAAACTAATTTCATCATCCTTTACCAATGACTATTTTGTCAAATCCTCCCTCTAACAAGAGTTATGAGTTTTTCTTTAAATTTTCAAGAAAATTAATCCCTTACTTATAGTTAAACACTTATTAATATAAATTAACATAATTTCCTAGTAAATTTAATTCAAAAATTTTAACCCCTCCTACAGTAATAATGATTGAACTTGATGCTTAAGGCAAGAGTATAAAATTTCTTCTAACCTCTATAATTGATATCTTACCCATTAATTTCTCATGTAAATAAACATATTAAACATACACATTAAACATGAACAACATCACTTTAAATCATCCAAGGTGTAAAACCCTAAATCTAATAATATATACTACATTAATTAATGGTCAATCTATGACAAAACCACAATCAATCATGATAAAAACGACTCTTACCTCTAAATCATAAAAAAATTAAAGGAATTAAGAGAAGGAATTCAAGTTTTTTTTTTATTTCTTCTTTTTAGTCTCCAATAACTTTTCCAAACTCTAAAACCCTTTTAATCCGCTCAAACGTTATGTTAGATCACTCAAAACCTTCTTATAACACTTTAATTTATCATTCTCCAAGTGTTTTAATGGGATTCTTCAAGCAAAAAATGGAAAAGTCCTCCTTCATTCTCTCCTTATTATGGTTGACTACCTATTTATACTGACTTAATATCCTTTAAATTACCATAATGTCATTATTATTTATTTTGGGTGTTTTTTATTTAACCAAGTGTCATATTTTGATCAACCTTTAAAAGTAATATAATAAAAAAAATTTAACACATGAAATTTCATTTCATTTCCTTTTTCTTTTTATATTTTTTATAAACACCATAAATTAAAATTTTAATCGAGAATTTACATTTTTATTCACGGGAGACTATAGTTTTGTAATTTTTATTTATTAACTCATATTTTTTATATTATAGTTTCATTGTATATTAGTGATTGAAACTCTTAGAACAATCACTTCTTTTCTTTTCTTTTTTTTTTTATCAAATGTAAGAAATTGTATAGATTTAAAACGAAGCATAGCTGGAGACTAGCAAGTCAAATGTATAGGCATACACAAACCAGTTAAAAGGAATAAGCTCCCTTGAATAGTCTAGGAGAACATAATCCTGAAACAAAGAAACTAAACCAACTAGCTAAACTAACCAACATGTGATCACAAAGGATAAGACTAGCAACAAACTAATAAAAAAAATAATAGATTGTAAGGTAGCCATAGGCACCTAAACAACCATAGCATGCATCCAGAAATACATGGCTACTGGAAAAGAAACTAAAACATAAGCAAATGCCAACGAGAGGCCAAACAGCAACAGAGGCTTTGATTAGAGCACCAATAAAGCAATAATATAGAAACTTATCAACAATGCTATAAAAAAACTGAGTGACTAGCCAGTCGAACAAACCAGCAATAGCAGCAGCAGGCACAACCCAGGCACATACATAAAAAGACTGTACAAAACCAAACTGTCAACCAAGCTATATTAGGAAAAGCAGGTAACCCAAATTGCACCAAAATAAAACATCTACCCTAGATGAGCAAGTAGGGAATCTACATAAAAGAAAAACCAAGACTAGCGAGTCTACAAAATATTTAATAGGAAATTAAGTATAAACTAATAGGAAACCAAAGGAACAACCTCCCTATCAAATCATGAAACAAAGCATCAATAAGTGAATGATAGAGCAGAATCATCCAAGCTGTGTAGTAACTAGAAATCAATAGCAGAGGCCTTGGACTTCCCTTTCGAACCCAAACAAGGGATGACAACTGCTTTACTTCTAGTAAGATATTGCCTTTTGGAAGGGACTATAATAGTAGTGGCACTAACACTAGAATGGTGTACTCATGAAGTATCAGGGAGAGTGGAGCCAAAGTGTTTGAATGCAGCAACTTTGGACCTCTTGCGACCAAGAGACTAAGGCCTCAATTCACCGGTTGTGACAACTTTAGTGAATAAAAGATCAACAGAAGGGCCTGCATAATATGGTTTCTACTTCTCAATAGAAATTATCTCTACAGAAGGGCTATAAATGGTTGAACATGCTGGAGTTTCATGAGGCCACTTCTTATTTTTGGGCCTGATTCCTAACACGCTCAAAATATTGATATTTTCTCTCAAGTATAGGAGTGTCAAAGTAATAAATAACCTAATAAGACTAGGATTGAACCATATGGAAGTTAATTATATAAATTATAAACAACAACAACAATAAGAAGAAGTTAAAAAGGACTTTGAGATGTAAGATTAATATGATGATTAAACAGTGATAAAAACAGTTGTCAAGGTTATAGAATCCACTAATAGTATTTCAAACAAGTATAATATAAATTTTTTTTATTACTTAATTGAAAATCATACACAAAGGAGGTTTTAATTGAATGATTTGTCATTAATAACTCATTATAAATTATTAAAATAATCATATTAATTATCTTATTTAAGTAACACCAAAATTTTAAATATTATTATGAATTCATGATGTTAACTTATGTTAACAATAAATTAAGTTCCTTTCATAGCACATGTGTAAGTTATACCATACAGTTGACTATGAAAGTGCCAAACACTTATTGTATCAAGTGTTATAGAAGACAAATCTAGATTAACTATTTAACAAACAAAGTATTAAGAATTAATAAGATAAAAATAATAAGACATGTTAATATTAATTTGTTTAGGATATAAACATTAAAGTCCATATTAAGTTTATATTATACTTATCCTAACACCATTAGTAAAACTTTTTCACCTTGATATAATAGACTTAGCTAAATATAATGAAGAAGAGAAACATAAATAAACAAGAAGAGAACATGAGCATATAAGTATAGTGAAGGAAATGAAAGGTATAAATAAGATATTAATGAAAGCAAAACTTAAGCATTACAAAAATATAAAGAAAGTGAGTAAAAATATGATCTTGATTTGAAAACCAAGATACCTA